GGGGGGAGGCTGGGAAGGGATGTGAAGGGTAAACCAAAGGAGGAGGCTGCAATGCTTGGTAAGAAATGTACGCATTATCCTGCCCATGTAATTGCAACTCCTCTGTACAGCATGTTCACAAATAAAATAAAATTTAAAAAAAGACTGCAATACAATATAGTCCAAAAATATATACATGACTCTCTGAAGTCAGAACCATGTCTTCTACACACCTGCCCACTGACACTTACATATGTACTTTTCTAGCTGTAATGAAACTCTTTAATCAGGCCTGACAGGTCAGTGAATTCGTTTTGGTGGAGGAGTCAAGAATTCTTTCTCATGTGAGGCTTCAGTAGAGGCCCCCCTCCCTGGCCACCAGGAACTGCCCAGGCATTCCACCAGTCAAAGTCATAGAAGAAGATCAGTTTCCTGTTCAGATTGAACTTAGGGTAATTTTTTATTGTTTTTATTGTTCACTGAGCTCACAAAGTACAACTACACTATCTCAAACTAAGAATAATTGACTAGCCAACAAGAGAGAAAAAAAACCAATAGAGAGGATTGACTACTGGAATAATGAAGAGAGTGAGCAGCCCATCAGATACCTTCACATGTAACGAAATGATAGTAATTGATATCTATCTGTAAAAATAATAACATAAATAAAGATCTAATTTCTGTTATCATTATGCATGTGTGTTGGGACCATGCCTTCACTTTGTTGTTCCAAATATAATCACATGAACCTCAGAGTACTTACTAAATAAACAAAAATGACTACACTGATGTCTTCCGAGTGCATTGCTAGGCACCTGGTGATGTCGGGTAGAGGAGAAGACACAACTCACTCGTAGGTGGGTCTGGTCTGGGACCAGCCATACAGGCTGTGGACGTCGTAGTGCCGCACCCGCAAGCCGTCTGGGAGGATCTGCTCGCTCTCCATGCACAGGGTCTTGCTGCTCAGGCCTCTGTCCCTGCCATCCACATCTGAAGAGAAAATTGAAGGATGTGCAAAAACAGCCCTGATAGGCGGGGTCCCTGGCCTCTCTATAAAGGATTGAACGCTGGAACTTAGGCTTCATCTCTGAATGGGCTGCACGTGCCTGAGCTGCATTAGTGCCTGCACATGCTTTCCTCACCAACACGACTGGAGAAAGCACAAATCTCAGAAACGACCCACAGCTTTCAGGCAGACCCTGATCTAAGCCTCTCATACATCAATTATCTCATTTAATTCTTACAATAATTGTACAAAGTATAAAGAGTTGTCCGTGTCTTTCAGATCTAGATGATATTTGGAAATAAAACAAAATCAATTGAAGGTCACATCACTTTAAAAAACAACAAAAAGGACTTGTGCTGGGCTCTGGTGGCTCATGACTGTAATCCCAGCTACTCAGGAGGCTGAAATTTGTCAGCAATCAAAGCTAGCCTGGGCAGGAAAGTCGGTGCGACTCTTATCTCCAGTTAACCACCAGAAAACCAGAATTGGCACCGTGGCTCAAAGTGGGAGAGTGCTAGCCCTGAGCAAAAAAAGCTCAGCAACAGCACCCAGGCCCTGAGTTCAAGCCCCATAACTGATCAAACAAAGGAATTTTGATGTCGTTGAGCCCAAGCAGCACACACACACACACACACACACACACACACACACACACACACACACACACACATTCCAGTCATTGAGCTTCATTATTCTGATTGGGATTAAATGACATTCCTGACAATAAGTTATCATAAACCTGAAGAATTAAGAAATCTAGCTGTGAAAATCATTTGGTAATATTAAACTACTAAAGGACCGCAGGCCAAACTTCAGAAATTCTCTCCTAAACTGCACATTTCCTAAAATACTTGATTAAAATACTTGGTGTGCTAGTGTCTCTGCCCTGAGTAAGCGCCAGCACCATGAGGACCAGCCTTCAGTGGTCAGGGCTGCTGAGTTCTGGCAGTTATCTTCCTTCTAGCCATGTCTTGGTAGATTAAGGAGGCCCTCGGTCCTTACGTGGCATGTACGGAGGGCGGTTCAGTGCTGTATCCCTGCAGCCAGGAGCAACTGCCCCGTTCACGAAGCTCGAAGGTTCATTCATATCCTAGAAATGTCACACACACACACATACGGTGTATGGTAAAGACAATAACATTGTATCAATTCAATGATAAACAGAGCAATGGATAAATTCTTCACCACTCCGTGCTTCCTGTGGATCCCACCCAGGGAGGATCACCACCAAGGTGACACTTAGCAGGAAACAGCAAGTGAACCCCATCGGATGGCTGTGTGGAGAGTTATAAAACATTCTCCTGAAGGCCAAGTAAAGTTCTAAGCAATGACTAATGACCACCCAACAGATTGCACAGCACAGATCTCAGGTCTGGCACAAAGTATGGAGATATGACCAGGCACACTGCTGGTGGGAAAATGTATGGTCTGAGATACCCAATGCTTTAATGGAAGAGTATTTAAGCTTCTTGACTAAAGTCATCTTGCCTATGGTGATCTCTATGCTACCACAAGTTAAGGTTCACACAACAGCTAACCATGTGTACCCAGACAAGCACCCTGCACTCACAATCCACATGCCATCAAACTTCAAGCTCTTCTCTGGACTCTGTGGATTGGTGTAGAGCTCTTCCATTTCCCTCTTCCACCACAGAGCAGTCGAGTTCCGGAAAAAGTCTGGGAAGGCCACGTAAGCTCTGTATTGCTATGAAAACAAAACACAATTCATTTGTACCAGACCAGTACACCAGACAATAAACAGGAGAATACTAGGTACCTTAACTCATGCAAATACTTGTACAACGCTGAGGAAGAGTCCTTTCTTTCCCATGCTTAAATTTTAATGGTAAAACCTATGCACTGAACTCACACTTTCTAGAACTTAAAAATTGACCCTTAATTGTCCTGCCACTTCCTAAGTACTTCATATAGACAAAGATGAAGCAGGAGAGAGACTGCAGCTTCCAGTGCCAGACATCAGGTCCACAGTACAACAAACCTCTGTCATCTGGCTGACCTTAGCACTGCACAACTAGAGGCTCAATAATGGTCTAGTTCACACCACATCTTTATCTATGGACTCCAAGGGTCTACATTTCAAAACCCTTCCAAAATTCCAGTTGTATCTAAGGAGGAAACGGAAAGCTTCTCTTCTCCTCATCTTCCCTCAAATAGTAAAAGCAGTGTTTACATCTTAACATCAAAGTGATCTAAGGCCTCACCTCTTCACTATACAGAAGGATGTTTGGAAATAATTATTTATTTGTATTCTGTGTGTGTGTGTGTGTGTGTGTGTGTGTGTGTGTGTGTGTGCTTATTGAACTTAAACTCAGAGCCTTGAACTCTTGCTCAGCATTTTTACTCATGACTAGAGCCATGTCTCCTTTTCCAGTTATTTGCTAGATGACTGAAGATTATTAAAGTCTGTTGGATTTGTCTGCTACAGCTGGATCTGAACATCGGTTCTCAAATCTCTAACTCCGGAATTGGCTATCAGCAATTGGCATATATTCTTATGCTTTAATCTTCATCTCCCTTCTAGGCTAAGCTTAGAACCTGACAACTAATCATTAAATGAGAATAAACATTAATTATATACTCAAAATCATATTGCTAATAATAACTATCAAATGTCCAGGTATGTATTCATGCCATTACAAAAGAGCAAATGTACAAAACTCTTTCTACTCCTCCATGGTTCTTCCTATAGAATATGATGGTCCTTGATGAATACTCTTCTCTGTGAATAACTGTGTGAAGAATCATTTGTGAAGCATCAGCAAGCTAAAGGATACTTGTGGTGAGGGCTGATACTATCTCAGAGAGAACATTTGGTCTGGGAAAATCACAGTTCTTAGACAAACAAAGCCAGCTTATGCCACCTTGCTGTCCAGAAGGCAGCTTCTTCAATACTTCAAACCATGGCAGGTATCCTGGGAAACAGGCCTTTGTTTCATTTCCCAGCTTTGCTCTCAAGGTAACAAAAACAACACATTCTCTAATAGAAATCCTGGCTAGCAGAACAATTGTTGAAGAAGACAAAAGAGTACATGCTCTCCAGAAGAATTCCCAATAGAATATTTGATAGCAAATCAGAACAGACTGCTGTCAGTTTATTGTGTCCTCTTCTGAGCCAAATGATGAGGCCTAAGGTATTCTCGCCCTCTAGGAATGACATATTTTTTTTCATGCAACCAATCCTTAGTCGTATAGGAGGGAAAATGAGATCTAAAATCTTGGGCTACCTGGATCCATGAAAGGCATTTTTCTTTTTTCTTTTTTTTTTGATCATGGGAATTGAACTCTGGGCCTCGGTGCTGTCCCTCAGCTCTTCAGCTCAAGTTGACCTACAGAGCCACTTCCAGTTTTCTGGTGGTTTTTATTGGAGATAAAAGTCTCACAGACTTTTCTGTCTGGGCTGGCTTTGAACCACAATCCTGCGATCTCAGCTTCCTGAGTAGCTAGGATTACAGGCATGAGCCACCAGCGCTGGGTACAAATTTTTTAATATAAGACATAAGACTAATTGAAAGTAGGGGGCAGAATTTATAATTATGAAGATGAAAATATCTGCCCAAAATTTAATAAGTATAGATTTTTTAAAAAATAATAACTAAACCAGGTTAGACATGTCTTTTAAAATTGTTTCCAAGGCAACCACAAGAGCTGTACTTAATAAGAGAAAAGAAAAGGCTTCTTGAAGGTATCATGCAGCACAAAATCAATGGCCTTTGAAATCTGCCAGCCTTGGATCTGAAATCACTGTTGTACTGCTGACACAGTGGACAAGTCATTGAAGTCCCCTGAGCCTTATCCCAAGGACAAGAATACTCATATCTCAACTGCAAGCAAAGCATTACTGCATGTAGAGTCATCAGCACAGAGACTGACTTACAAGATGTTTTTCCTTCATGACTTCCCTCACCATGTCATGTCAGGAATTTTAGCCATGGCTGTTCCTTCTTTGTAACCATAACCACTCAAAATTTACACACACACACACACACACACACACACACACACACACACAATGGCTCACACCTGTAATCCTAACTACTCAGGAGGCAGAGATCTGAAAATCATGGTTTGAGGCCAGCCCAGGCAGGAAAGTACCCATGAGGCTTTTCTCTCCAATTAACCACACGAAGTAGGGCTATGTGTCAAAGTGCTGGAGTGCTAGCTTGAGAAAAAGAGCTCAGGAACAGTGTCTAGTCCCTGAGTTCAATACCCACAACCAAATATATATATATATATATATATATATATACACACACACACATATATGTGTGTATATATATATACATATATATATATATATATATATATATACATACATATATATATATATATATATCCAAAACAAAATAAAATCCTTACCTCCACTTGACTGTCCCAGTCCAGAGAGCTGTTAACCACAATGTTAGGAAAATCAGGCCAGACCTAAGCAGAAAAAATGTTCAATATCAACAGTAGTATTTTCTCACCCATACCTATGAAATCATTAACTGTGCTCCTTAGAGAAATATACATGGTTTATTATATAGGGCGAATCCCACAAAGCCCTTAAATATATGAATAAAATTTGATTGAAACATGGAAATTATTGACATTCAGACTCCAAATGAGAAAAGACAAAAATCGACATGAACAAATGTATTAACTGTGTAACCACCCCAAGTTAAGGATGAGTGGTTTACCACTGTACCTTGCCCCAGACAATTCCTCCATCATTGGGAAACTTGATGAAGACATCATCCTCCACACCACGAGTGAAGGCAGGATAGGGCTCTGTCTCATTGCCAGAAATGGCTGGGTCCTGAAACCAAGGCACAAATCAGACAGAAAGACACATGCAGAGAATGGCCAGGGACACAACACAGCTCTTCCCAACACATCTTCCTTACATTATGCTTGAACTTTACAGTGTCTGAGATGCTGCTAAATGCCTTTTCCATCCAACTTCAACCTTTCCTTGTGTACCATGGAAGGAAACACAGTGTGGGCCTTCCCCACCCATTCCCCTTCATCCTCCCAGAGGCCACAGATTCCCACGGGCTCTGACCAGAATGAGGATGACCCGCATGCCAGCGGCCTTCATGCGATCGATCAGGGCGGGCAACCCAGAGAACTTGGGGCTGAGGGTGAAGTCCAGCTGCCGCTCCATGTAGTCGATGTCCGAGTACTGCACGTCCTGGGGGAGGACACAGGGGACTGAGTGATAGCTGGGGCCTCAAGGCCAGGTTCCCAGGAGAACGACTCTCCACCACCCGTGGTTCCTTCTGAGTCAGCTCCCAGCTCTGTTATTTCTCAGTTATAGATACTGGTGAATATACATAGTCGTTCAACTTTTCACTCATAAAATATAAAGAAAAATATCTAAGTCAGGAAAAAAAATTGGAAGATAAGGCTTAGAGGGTGGAGTATTAGGAAGATCAATATAAACACTGGGTGAGAAAGTGCTTTGTAAACTGCTAAAATAAGGAGTACATCTCCATACCTCCACCACAAAGCCACCCTTGGATTCAATGGTTCATGTTAAGAGAAAAGAATTGTTCCCTCCCCAGGTGTAGTAGATACAAAGTCTACTACAAAGCAAGGAAACACAAACACTTATAGTACTAACACATGTAGTAATCAGACACCGTTTCCTAGTTACAGAGGATATGTATAGGATGGCTGTGTACTGTTTGGTTACTATTAAAGGCAATTGAATAAAAACTGGAATGAAGCAAACAATTAAAGTTCCTGTGAGGGCAGATCTGACCACACAGTACCTACAGAAGCTGACCTGGGCACTGACCCATACCGATAATGGGCTAAGAGAATCTTGGGTCATGTTATTCCAAAAAAGCAAAAAAAATCTAACGGAAGAACTGTTTTATTTTTATGGGAACATGGTTTTGTTCACTAAATGTCTTCAAGTTATGTAACTTGAACATTGGGATGTACTATACAGCATCGCAATCCTTATAACCAGCTCATTCTTCTCACAGTGAATCTTTGATCTCTCGGTGTTTGGAGGAGGCATCACCCCACCTGGATTTCTGTGATAATAATATCATTTGAAAAAACACTTTGTATGCCTACAGAACCTCACAAACCTCCAACAACCACATTGAGATTCAGAAACAGCAGTGTTCCCTATGAGAATACAGAGTATGGTGCACACAGGGCATCCACATACATAGGGGATCTGTGCGGCCACCATCTCATCATACAAGCTGGAGATCTCAGCATCATTCTCGTATCCATAGCGACACAGCTGGAACCCCAGGGACCAGTAAGGCACCATGACAGGCCGGCCAATGACCTAGGAAATAGGCATTAAATAAAGGCAAATGAGGCCCAAAGAAACATAGGTCCCATGGTTTCCCTTATTTGCAATATCTAGTATATGTCTGAGACAAGCAGAAAACGTCAGATAAGTTGATGTTAGGGAAATGAACCCTTAGATATATATTCAAATATTTTTTTTCTTTCATGCGATTGTTTCTAACACATTTATAAGATTATTTCTTTGTTGCTTTGTATGTCCCTCCCCCTCAGTATAACCCCTGCTTTCACTGTATTTGATGTCGGTATAATTTGTGGAGGGGAAGGGAAAAAAACAAATCGTTTAAATAGGGATACAGGTGGACCCATTGCAACAATGAGATGTATAAGTCGTTATGCCAAAAACGAACTTTACAACTTTGTGGGGGGTGGGGATAGGATTGGGTGGTGGTGGAGTGGGGGGGATGGGAAGGGATGGGAAGGGGAAACAAAGGAGGAGACTACAATGCTTGATAAGAAATGTATTCATTATCTTGCCCATGTAATTGTAACCCCTCTGTACAGTATTTTCACAATAAAAATAAATAAATAAAGGCAAATGCTAGTCCTTTAAACAAGAAGCCATACTGAAGTTATCTATGAAGAAAAATCTTGTCCCAACGTTCCAAGCCAGAAATCCAATGAATTCCAGCCACAAATGGAGATACCAGAGGAAGAACTATCAGATCATCTTGTGGAAACCCTACTATTAGACTGGAGTTCATTCTTTAGGAATTCTGGGGAAATACCTTTTTTCTATTCATTCTTAGATGTAGTCTCACTTACCAGTGAGAAGCTGAGAATTTACGATCACACACACACACACACACACACACACGCACACACACACACACACACACACACACACACATGCTCCACAACTTAGCAGCTGTGTGCCCTTGGGCGCTTCAGGAATCTCTTTGTTTGTGTTTTCACCTGTAAATTGGAGATAATCTTAGTGTCTGTCTCACAGTGTTTTTATGAGGTCTAAATGCATAACTATTCCCAAAGTGTTCTGACATGGATTAACAAATGCAGTAATAGTACAAATGTATTTCTGCCATAACCAGGACCCGTAATACTACTTTACCTCTAACTCAGCAACTGTTATTTCCACTATGACCAACTCTGTCACTATCACAACTCAACAGTCAACAACTATGCCACCACCTTAACTCTCACAGCCATCATTAAGAAAACAAACACATAACCATCAACATTCTCAAAACTATTGCTATAGAATACATCATCACCAATATCAATGCCATCTTAATCACCACCCTCATGATCACCACACCCACAATCAATCCCACCACCATGACATCCACCAACACAACTAGTAATCAATATCATCATCACCACCCATACAGCTACTATGACAACCATTAACACCATAATGACCACTTCCACCATCACCACCATCACGATCACCATCAGCACCAGCACTAGCAACATCACCACAATTACCTCTACAACCACTTCCACCATCACTACCTTGACTGATTCTACTTCCCTAGCATGATGGATAAGCTATCAATTTAATGAATATTGGAATTTATGTGTTTTATTTTATTTTATAATACACCTGTCTTTTAAAATGTCCAAGAATTCTCATTGTCGCATGAGAGGTATAAAGATGAATGTGGGATTCGGATCCCAGTATTGCTGCATGAGCACTTGACAGACAAGTAAATTCACACCTACCTCGGTATACTGCTGAGTGACAAGCTCTGGAGTTGGCCCCAAGAACACATAAAAGTCCAGAACTCCCCCTGTGGTGCGGTATGTCAGGGCCGGCATGGGCTGGAAAGTCACATCTGAAAATAGAGGGAAAGGTGAACCGAGCTGCCTGCAAAGCTTCAGCATGGGAAGAATGCAGCCCTGAGCACTGTGCCTTCTCTCCTCCATTGAACGCTATTAAGACATGATTTTCTCTACTCAACTCACATGGACTGGAAGAAATTAAGGGAAAGGATTCAATCCATGAACATGTTGATTTGCTTTAGTATCTTATTATGTTCTATAAATCTGCTCCATTAAATTCTCATTGTTGGTTACTAAAACAATAGCTTAATGGGCAAGCATGTAACTCAGTGGCAAAGTGCAAGAAAGAAAGAAAGAAAGAAAGAAAGAAAGAAAGAAAGAAAGAAAGAAAGAAAGAAAGAAAGAAAGAAAGAAAGAAAG